AGGCAGAAAAACTATCCAAAAAAACTAGCAGAAAAACAATGCTGAAAATGGGATATATACCACAATCGATTAATAAATAGCATTTATTATTCACCATATAAACGACTGTAGACAAATTTCAAACAGCGAGGTAATTGATAGTGAACGGACAATCTGTTTTGTTTATACAAAACTATAGAGCAAAAAAACTATCCAAAAAAACTATCAGAAAAACAATGCCGAAAATGGTATCATATACCACAATCGATTAATAAATAGCATTTATTATTCACCATATAAACGACTGTAGACAAATTTCAAACAGCGAGGTTGTCGATAGTGAACGGACATTCTGTTTTGTTTATACAAAACTATAAAGCAGAAAACTATCAAAAAAAACTATCAGAAAAACTATCCAAAAACGAATATAATTGCAATTAAAGATTGCAATGATATACAATTTCTACAAACTAAATACACTCGCTAAATTAAATATGCACTATGCAATAAATTTCTGACAATTTTGTTAAACACCAGATCCAGGAAGTATTAGGTTGGCTAACTTAGTAAGTGCGGTTCTCAACTTTAGATGGTTTTGATTAGGGTTTAGGAAAACCGTTTTTTTGGCGAAAATTATGGAATTCGAAAACCGGTATTTTAGTGAAGAAAGTCGGCTTTTACTGTATAAATGGAAAATGACAAATATAGCCAAATATAAAAGATAGGTGAAAGCGTTTTGATTCTTAAAATCATATCGGTTCAATAGCATTTGATATCTTATCAGTCTGCAATGGTTCCCAGAAAGGTTTTGTATATATTAATTCAGATTTTTAGGGTATATTTTAATTTAAATCAGTGTGACTTCTTCTTGAAGAAGTAACTTCGTCTACTTAAACTTTAAGAAAATAGTTTTAAACCCTAGAAGCCGCAAATAAAAGAACAAAAAGCTTAGAATTATTATATCAGGCTTTAAAAACAATTAAGCATAATTAGGTCGCAAGTATGAGAGCATTTTTTATTTCAGTAGCATTTCGATAGACGTTCTCAGTTTTTTGAAATCATATTTTATTAAACAAAAAAAACAATTAGAATGTTAAAAATAAATTAATTAAAATTGCTCGGAACAGGCAATACCCGAGTTTAGCTTAATTGTTTTTAAAACTAAAATTGATATTAACAAATATGTATCAACATGTATCTAATTCTTTTTTAATTTATTGAATGTTTTTTATTTAAAAATGTATTATTTTTATTTATTCGAAAACTTTCCCTCCACTATCATAAAAATATTTTCATTCTTTTATATGTGAAAATGATGCATGATTAACGAATAATTATTTTCAATGTTATTTAATCCGGATAAACTATTATTTTTTAGTTCTACTAATTAAAATTAAAATAATTTTGTTTACTATCCATAAAATTGAACAATAAATAAACTCAGTCAAATACTGCTCTAAATTTGCGGATAAATTACAGAATATTCGAGCAAAAATTATTTTCTATATAAAATTCGAAAACCGGCTAAAACCGGTTTTTAACAAAATTAAAATTCGAAACCGGTTTTTTGAAATGTCGGTTTTTGTATAAACCCTAGTTTTGATTGAATCTTTAGGTTTGCTCATTATACTTATTTATCTATGGATTTTCTGACGAAGTCTAAATTTAAACAACTTTGTTCATAGTAGGCGGTTTAGATGTCCATCGGTAAAAAATTTTTTATTTGGAAAGAAATGGAACAACGATTTGCCAAATTTTTTTTGCCAACTGTTATTACCATCCGAATAACCAATTCTGATGTCTACATTAAACAACTAACGAAATTCAACAATGCAGTTGAAATAAGTGGTCTGAGTTGACAAATCGAAACGGTGATTTATTCCATTATTGACATCACATACGTTCGGCCACTTGGCAAAAATTGTTGAAGCTTAGCTAGGATGTTTAGCCATATCCACCATACAGCCCTGAGTCAGGACTCCTGAATTTGCACCTTCTGAATTGTAACAATCAGAAGTTTTATGAAAGTGAGATGACGATTCTGCTTGAAAAGATGACAAAAAGTCATTGATCAGAATGGACATACATTATAAATTAAAGTTATTTACCTCCATGAAAAAATATCATTTCCTAACAAAAAGCCGCAAATTTGTTGATGTCAACCTAATATATATAATGTTATAACATTAATGAGTTTGTTCGTTTCGACAAAATAGAGATCTAATATATTCATGAAATATTATAAATAAAAAGATCATACTTTTGGCGTGAAATAATTAATTTTCGGGTAAAATACTAAATGTTAATTGAGTTATATTAGAAGAAAACTTAGTTCAGTAAGTGCTCCAAAAAATATGTGCGCAATATCAATTTCACCTATATTTTTTTAAATATTATAGATTTCAAAACTTAACAATTGTTCATGAGCTATTATAGCATTTTTGTCTGCTTTAGTCTTGCCAATACGATACTTTTTTTTAATAAAGTTATATAAAATTTGTTAAGTGAGGACAAAATGTTTGTTTTACTTAAAACAGCAATTTACTCATTCTTCATATTAAGATGGTTGAATATTACTAAATTATGATAAATCAGAGTCGGTGTGGATAAAATAGATTTATATACATGTGATATTTCAACTCATCTATGATGATAATACATGTTGATAGTGATGTTTTATTTTATTCCAATATCAAATAACAGTTGATTTACATAATAAGAATTTATAAAAAAATCTTCAAATAAATGAAACTGAATTTAACAACATTACAGAGGAACATAAAAATAAAGATATAATACTGACACGAGTGGCCAACAATTGCCAACGCTAAATGTCGCACAAATTAAATATAAAGACATCATTTTACAACCGAAGGAAAAAAAATCATAAAACTGTTAACAAAACTATATTATTAATAAAATATATTTGATGAACTATGGTGTAAAGTGTTTGATGAAACAAGGTTAATAATATTTGTAATATGAAAAATGTGTTACCTTGTGAATGCAGGCAAGTAAAACATGTGAATTAAAATATGGAAAAACTTGTGATTTACTTAATAGCCATGAGTATTTTAAATGAATTTACACAAATATTAGTCAATATTCTTGTCATATATAGCAATTTGAAAAATATGATATTATACATATATATTAGCGTCCCTAGCAATTAGTAATTTTTGGTTTGGAATATCTGTCCATATATAATAAAAAATATATATTGTTAACTGTGCTTTCTGTTAGACATCTCATCATATCATTATGAAAATTTATAAATGTTATAACTATGGTTTAAGAGCACTATTAATTGTTATCGTGTGAAAAAAAGTAATTGTTTATTTATAATTTCACATCGAGCTATACAGATATTATATAAATTATAGAAATCTCAAAAATATCTATTTTTATTGAATCTACAAGGAAATTGCTCCACTTTGAAAACTGCATACGGATAAAACATAATTTATGTATGTTTTTTTTTGGTAAATTGAATACATGTTTTTGAGTTTTTCTTGTTTCTAATACTCTCTAATTTATTGTAAAGTTTTAATAAAAAATATATTAAGTACAGTGATAGAATGAGATTTTAAACATTATTGATAAATTATTTATTAAATAAATAAGTTTAATATGTTAACTATTATATAAAATCTGGTATGTAAATAAAAGATGTTTTTAATTAAAGTACACTAAATACATATCAATGTGATGTATATAAAATTGTAATATTTCTGTTAAGTGTTTAAAATAGAAGTAGTCACTGTATTTGTAATTAAAAAAATTCTTTGCTAAAAACAGATAGATAAAAATATTTTTACTCTCAAGGCGATTTAATTTAAAAATGTTATATATTGCAAGGCTTCAAAGGGACCAACATTGAGTCTTGAGTTGGAATGAGACACATTAATTATATTCTCTAAATTCCGAAAAAATCTAATAATTAGAGTTTTACAAATGTTCTAGAATAATAATATTTAGACCATCACAATATTTTATAAAAACTATGCAATCCTAATTATAGTAACATATAATGTTGTATAAATAATAGAATTATTTCAAAATAACCCGATGTAGATCTCTTTCAAAATATGCACTCAGATTCAAATTATATAATACTTTGACATATATTCTTACAAATTTATAAATAGAGATATCGTGTACAAATTTTACAAAACTCTATTTATGACGTGAACGGTAAATTGTAATTAATGTTAAAATATGATGTTGATGTAAGTGTTTGAGAATTGTAATTATAAAAGCATGTAAGATGTGTTAGAGTAATTTCATTCTGTATTTTCATGTTATCATTGAACATCATATATTAATAAAACTATATTTATATAATTTACTTAATTTTTTCATTTTTTTGTTTATTAACTTCATCAGGGTATTGGTATCCGTATACCATCTCTCTTAAATTGATAAAAAAATATTATAAAAATATTAAAGGACTATATAATATTTTTAATAACATTGAATGTTTCGTTTTAATAATAATATAGTCTATAGATTAGATAAGCCAGAATAAAACGATATACCATTTTTTCTAGGAAATATTTACTATTTCTATAAACATACATACTTACATATTTATAATGTGATCAAACGTCTAGGGTTTTCCGGGACTATTTAAGATGTGTTAAAATAGCCTGTCTTTTTAATAATTTCATATTTACAAAAATTAGCAATAACTTGCTAAAAACGAACGTTATGACTGTGTAGCCCAAGTCTATAAACAAGTAACCAAGTGAAAAATGCACACTTAATATTATATTATATTATAATATTTTTTACTAATATTATAATATTAATTTAAAAAACTTAAATAGACAAAAAGAAATACTATCATTAATTCTGATTTTAAAAATATTAGATTTAAAAAAACGGTTACTTCGCGTTGTATTATGGCGGCGACGACTGCAACTACAGTACAAAATCTGGCCTCTCTTTATATATGCTCTATGGATTATTTGACATTTCAAAAAGACACATTTAATTTCTTGGTTATGTGTAAAGAAATATTAAAACGCAAATAACTAATTACTTTATATTTATTAATAATTATATGAAAAATGACAGAGAGTAGAATAGAATTTTTATGGAAAGCTGCAAATAGTCTCAATTCAGAAAATTATGCTGCTCTACGTAGCAATCTTCTGTAAGTTCTTATAAATCATTATTTTATTCCTGTTACTGTAATTGTTATTTTAATAATTAAAGAAATATTTTTTACGTAACAATTATTTTAATTTAATGTATAATTTAAATCCTCTTATAGCTAATGTATTTCCTTGTAAGGCCAATAAACCAATAAAAAGTTTCTCTTATAACATAATTTTATACTTTTTACTATAATGCAGATTCTATCTATTACAAATAATATTTATAAATAATGAATATTATACATATTTTAAATATTCATTGTGAACATAACTATGCATAGAAATCTTCTATATGTTCTTTTAAATCCTTGTTTCATTCTTATACATAACATTCTCATTACTGTAATGATTATTCTAACAATTATAAATATTCTTTTCAATTATTAAGACCACTTAAATCAGTAATTTATATTCTTAACTAATAGTGATTCTAACTATTATAAAAAATTTTACAGTGCTAGATGTCATGATTATGCTCGACATGAAGTAAATTTACCTAAAAAGTTGTTTAGCGTTTCATCGATGTGCCAGAAATGTTTTACACCATGGCGTTTCGGGCAATATAAATGTATTGTAAGTATTTGTAAGAAAAATATGTATATACAAAATATTGTAATGTTGATTTTAATTTAAAAGTCACATGAATTATCCATAAAATTTTAAAATGAAATTAATCATGTATCAATTTATAATTTTTCACAAATATGTCTGTATAGAGCACACATTGTATTTCAACACAATGCACAAATATCGTCTATTATTATTCATTGTAGAAGCATTTAACAGATTTTATTTCATATAATTATGAAATATAAAGAATTAATTTGAGTCCTATTGTGTATAAGTTTTAATATTCACTAGATCATATTCCTAAAACAAAATATTTTTTGGCAAACGTTCAATTAAACTAATTATTTACTATTTTTTAGCTTAAACCAGAAAGAAAACAAATTAAAAAATTAAAGAAGAAAAAGCTGTGTAAAAATAAAACTTCTTCAAATGACACACAAAATACCCTTAAGAATCAATTAGTGAGTTTAGATCATATAACAATTTATACATTAAATTCTTTACTAAAGACATTATTCTATCAATGTTTTAGGTTTTATTTTGCAATGTTTGTAAAAATAAAAATGTTCAAGTTCTTCATAAACCTCTAAAATTGAAACCTCAGGTTGAAGAATCAACCCCATGTATTAAGAAACGCAAAAAAAAGAAAGATAAATTTGCTGGCCTTTCCGAAAAGGCTGTTCTATCTGCTGGTCCAAAACACGATTTAGATAAAAATATCATGCGCAATAAAAAAAGGTTGTCTTTTAGTAATGAAGAGCATAAAAACACAACAGAAGTATCTGTTAATGCTACACCAAAATCAAATGAAACTCCTATGGTTTCTAGACCAATTTTCAAATCAGAAGTATCAAGTGCTAATCTTGGCAATATTGTAGTGACTAAGAAAAGTAAAAAGCAAAAGAAAAATTCAGCTGTTGCTAAACTAGAAAACAAGAAACAAAGTAAAACAAACAATTCAATAAAAGTTTTAGCTGAAATTTTGAAGAAAAGTAAATCAACTGACAATAATTCTAGATTGAAACAACTTTTAAAAAGTGTTTAATAATCTGTATTATGTATGACTCAAAAAAAATTAGAAAAGAATATATGTATATATAATTAAATTAATAAAAAAAAAGTTTTAAATTATTCGCGCCATTATTCAAACTCCATTTTGTATTTTACACGTGCTTTGAGGTTAGTTGTACATTTTGAATAATGTTATGTCGAGCTGTCATTAATGTTTAACGGGCTTAATTTTTATGATTGCAGTTTATTCCAAAGTAAAATTTATAAAAAGTTATAATTATAGAAAAATTGTAAGTGAAAAGGCTTATTTGATTGGAAAAGCATTGCAATGTCTAATATTAATGATTATCCTAAAACTGAATATGATAGCGAAACATGTGATATTAAATTTTATCCAAGTGTATATCAACAACGTTATACAAAAGTGTGGGAAATTCTAAACGAATTTTCCTACACAAAAAAATTGACAAAGGTTGGTAGTAATTGAGAATGGAAAATATCGAAGATGTATAAATACATAAGAAGATAAATATTTTTTTTTATGATCAGGTAATAGATTTTGGGTGTTCAGAGCTAGGATTTTTTACTTTGTTAAAATCGCTTCCCAAACTAGAGCTTCTTATTCATGTATGTAAAAAAACTTATGGTTATACATAAATATCAAAAGCTTGAAAATAATGCTTAACATATGACTTTAAAATATGTATCACTACAGATTGATGTCGATGAAGAAACTCTTAATGACAATTATATAAAAGTCAAGCCACTGGTATCAGATTACCTACAACCAAAAACGCATTCATTCCATGTACAGGTAGATCATAATACAATGATATTTAATTCTGTATTGTCATTTATTTATTTGTTTGTTATTACATTAAAAATGTTAGGTTTTTAAAGGCAGCATTGGTGAGCAAGATCCTGTAATAATTGATGCCACTGCTGTTGTATGTATAGAATTGTAAGTAAATGAGGATGTTTTTGATTTATTTATTTTTAATGGCATTTTCTACCTCCTCCGCAACATCCACCACTAGCAGGAGCAGGTGCTGGTTGTTGTGTTGGTTTTTCAACCTAAAATTAAAAAATTAAAGTTGCTAATATTTCTAATGTCTAACTCAATGCAATTCCAGTGAAAGGATTTGTAGTAGTTATTCAAAAAATTATTTATTTAAAGGAAGGATTATGTATGCCTTACTTGTGCAAGCATTTTTTTCAATTCTTCAGATGTCATTCTCATCGAAATAGCCATATCATCCACATATGACATAAAATCATTAAAGTTTAATGCCGGTGTCCTAAATTTATTGAACAGATCAGCCGCTTGTGCTGAGCTCATTTTGATACCTATTACTTTTGCTTGTTGGAACCATTTTTGTGCTTGAGCGTAACTAATTGTTCGTCCATCACTTTTAATATCCCCTAATTTAGCAAAAGCTGTGAAATGTTGATTTAAATTTGTTAAATTTTGAGTAGCTGCCATATTTTTTTAAATTTTTTTATTTATTTAGTTTTTTTATATAAAAATATTTTTGATTTTTTTTGTTGTCTTTTGTTTTCTATTTCACAGACAATAAATTGAATGGTAATGGATACAATTTTGTTTTGTTTTTTTAGAATTGAACATCTTTATCCTGATGTTCTTGAAGAAGTTCCATATAATATATTAGGTGTCAGTCAACCAGACTTAGCAATATTCACAACACCAAATGTAGAATATAATATATTGTTTTCGAATTATAATAAACTTAGAAATCATGATCACAAATTTGAATGGACCAGGGCGCAATTTCAAGACTGGTAAAAATAATAATCAGCTTTTTTTGTTACATACCTTTTTTTTTAAACTGATTTATATATTTTATTTCAGGGCGCAAAATTTGTGCTTGCGCTTTCCAAATTATTCTGTAGCTTTTACTGGTGTGGGCCCACCACCAGATGGTTATTCTGTTGTTGGTTTTGTTACACAAATTGCAATATTTACAAAATCTTATACAGACAACTCTATCAGAAATGATCAATATGAAAGCAAATACAAACTTATATACGAAACAAAGTATCCTGTTTGTATAGATAATAGAACACTAGATGAGAAAGTGTTAGAAGAAATTCAGTACAAACTAGAAATGTTGGCAAATCCAAATGATGTAAGATATGATGAATTTATTAATGATGGTGATCGTTTACTAATTCCTATAAAAGATATAGTACCATTTGTTGAGAAGTTTGGTGTTAATGAGGACAGCATTATGTAAGTATAAAACTTATATTTATTTATATATATATATATATATATATATATATATATATATAAGTGTGTGCATACAACTGAAAGAAAAAAGTAGAATTTATTTTGAATGTTTGCTTAATGATTGATAGATTCGATAGATCCTAGACAATATAATAATGCGATAGACTATAAACTATACGAAAAAAATAAGAAAGAATGAAAAAAGACACATAAAATGATTAAATGCTTACAATGAGTATGGAATTTTCATATTTACCATTAACTGTGCACTGGAAATTATAATGCGTATTTTTTTATAATTCTGGGCATATTCAATTATTATATTTTTAATCTATTTTTGTTTGATATATATTTATTCATCCTGTTTATTAAAAAAAATATTTTCAAATTATTTTGATTTCATAATATATTTGATTCGTATATCATATGAATGATTTTTTTATATTATAGAAAAATTGTATCAGGGACTGAACTTGCAATAAAAAATGGTAAAGATTTTGTTGTAAAAACTACTGCTTATCATCGTAAATCTGAATCAGAATCTGATTCTGAAATTAACAGTGATTTAGAAATAAAAAATGTTTATTGCCCAAGTAATACGGAACCAGAAGAGCTATGGGATTAGATTAATATAAGTTTGAAAAGATATAATATGAAGTTATTTATATTATTTATAAATAGAAGGAAGTATTTCTGTGATTTATTATAGATTTATATATTTCTTTGATTTTATCTTTTACAGAATAATAGAGAATATAGCTATATTAATAGATACATAAAAATGTAAATAATTTTTGTACAATTTCCATTTAAATTTCAATGTTAAAACAAACAATAAGTTGAAAATAATTTATTTCAATAAATTTTGTTTTGAGTTTTATAAAATATATAAAATTAAAATTACAAATTATTAAATTAATTTTTTCATGATTTTGTATTATTATGGCTCAAAAACAAGTTTAAAGGTCATTTTCATACTTAAATAATTTTTTCTTATCACTTATATACTTATTTAATCTTAATGAATTCTTTTAAAATTTATTCATGTATTTACAAATTCTATAACATTGAAAGCAAACTTTTTGTGATATACAGCAATCAAACAAGTGATTTTTACAATATGCTTTTCATGGGATCTCACATTGAGAATTATATATTACTTTTAGTTATACTCTTTAATAATAACTATAATAGGGTTTCTATGCGAATAACAAATAGTTATGTTAAATTTTGTATTAAAGTACATTTTTATTTGAGATGCTTTTAATAATATATTATTCTAATGCAATTGCGATACTTCATATAAAATCAAAAACAAAGTATGATAAACTATGAACTTGTTTCTGTGTACAAAGTTTGTTAAAAATTATGAAATTGTAACTAGATTTACTAAAAAATATATATATTCATTTTATTTATTTTTTTATTCTTTTTGTGGTAATTTCAGTCAACTGATATTTTTCAGGTAATAAATTTTACTTTCAAGTTATTTTTTGTTAGAAGACATTTAAGAAAGTTTAAACACGATACATATTACTGGAAAATATGTAAGAAGTCCATTTTTTATAAACAGCAAGCTGATCATATGTCAGTAATTTCAGGAAAGAACGGTAAGAATTTTGTTTTATTTATTCATCATTCATATAAAAATGTTTTGTCTTTTTTTTTTAAAATAATATTTCTTTCATTTATGCGTACTAACACTGGTAATATTAAAAATTGATATATATCAATTAATTATTTTTAAAACTATAAAACAGAATTCTCAAATTATATATCTGAAGTTTTATAACTTATGCTTATTTCAATCGAATTTAGCCTTTTATTTTAAAAATACCAAAAAAAGATTTCGGTATTAAATATTTTATAATCTCTATAACTATTTGATATAATTAAAATTTTCACAACAATCATTAATTAATCAATGCCCCACTCAGTTTACATTTTCTATGCAGTAAGCCGTGATATTGTATATCTTTTCTTTTAATTCTAGCACTTATTTCTAAAACACTAGTAACCATGTAATAATATTACTTTATCACATAAAATACGGAAAAAAATATTTTTTTCTCACTTGGGTCTAGTATTATAAAGTCTATAATAAATTTGTAAAATTTTATCTTTACATACACTTTGTTAAAATGATTGGAGCATCTTCTTTTTATTTTGTAATTTTATTTATTAATAAATACATATTGTTCATCGTCTTCAAGGATTTTGTTTCTATTATAAATCCTTTTTATTTATCTTCGTCAGATTTATCACTTTGATCAGGTTTGTTCAAAGCATTCTTTAATTCATCCAATTCCGAATAAACATACAACCTTTTCACACCTCTTGGTAAACCTCGACATGACGTTAAATTTAAGGAAACTAAATGAGCACAATTCTTCAGAACGGCTTTTACTGGTTCTAGACTTACAGATGATCCGCACAAGTTCAGCACCCTGAAAATATAATAATAATTGATTTTAGTCTTCATGCTGCTAGTAATCATTTTTTTTAATAGCCAAAAACATGCAAATGTTGAAATAATTCAAAAATATGTACCTTAATCGGCCTTCTGCACCTTTTTCTGCTATGGCGTTAACAGCACAGTCCAAAGGTTCTTGAGCATTAGCCCAAGCCAAATCTAATTCTACAAGACTATGAGCCCATTTTTGTGCTATTAGTTCTAAACCAGAACTAGTCATTCTTGTAACATAACTTCCTGAAAAGATATTGAATTTATGATACAGAAATTTATTGCAAATTTAACTTTTTAGTTCAGTCTAACATATGTATACTGCTTTAGTTTTAGTTCAGTCTAATATATACTACTGAACTACATAATGCTTTTCTCAGTTTCTTTTATTTTCTTTATTTATTTAAATATTTAATTATCATCTATGACAAACCTGCTAAAAATAAATGTGCTAAATCCCAGGCTGGTACCCTGACGAGACTGGATTCAGTAATTCTTGCACATCCGCGTACATCTAATAACTTTAATCTGGTACTTGACTTTAACACTCTGCTCATAGCATCGTCATCCATTAGACGTGAATCGTCTCCCAATGAAGCTATTGATAATTCTTCTAAGTTGGGAAAGCCTGGAGATTCACACTGAAAATAAAAATAAACATGTTAAAAATAATTATACGGTAATATTAAACCTGTATCATTTTTTTTTTTATTTGATTTGCTCGTTTTCTCTTCATTACCTGCTCTTGTATGCTGGCATTAGACAAAACAATGTTGCTATTCGTTATCCGTAAAACTCTCAAATTTTGGCAACCTTCTTGTAACTTCTCTATATGTAGAACTCCTGATGAATGTGATATACTTCGAATGTTGGAGAGATCTAACAACCTCAAGTTTGGGCAGCATGTCTAAAATAATTCAATTTTTTTTAAATATAGATTATGATCTCTATATTTATTTAAATCATAGTTTTGATATTGATAAATAATTACCGCAATGGCAGTAACAATTTGTTGAATTCCGGCTATCCTGTTGTCGGCTAATAACAAATGCGTCAGTCTTTCGCCCATTTCTGTTAACATGGTACACAAAGAATTTGTTGAAACCGCAGACTTTGTAACATTCACTTCGGACTGAAAAATAGAAATAAATATATAGAAAAAAACATTAAATATGATCACATGAAAGATAATTGAATTTATGAGCATTACTGTATGAAACCGAAATAAATGAAAATATCATAATAGTTATCATTCTAACGTAACAGTATCGTTATAACGCCAAAACAAATGCTAATTCTAAGTATAAGAAATTCCATCACAAGACTTCCTACTATTGTCTTACTTTTTTTTTTAAACGAATTATGAACATGTACTTAAATTTGACTGAATGATTAACTGAAGCTTGTGTTTTGCTGTATATTACAGCAAACATTAATATTAACATTGATAATATCTTAAATAAATTAAAAAATCATACAAATTTCTTGTGCGATCATAATCGTAAATTATGCGCTATGTTTATAATTAATTATGTATAATTATATGCAACTAATTTATTTTTATTAATTATCGATTAAACCTAAATCAGATTAAAGAAAGTAGTAAGTAGAATTTTATAATAGAATAAATAATAAATTCATTATTATCAAAATAATAAGCCGATTTTTTTTCAAGATTAATAAGCGCTTGAAGATACGTATCATTTGAATTAAAAAAAAGCTGATTTAGGTTTTGGCTGATGCTTAAGTCAACTCTTGTTTAAATAACTTTTACAGAACGTTATTGATGTAAACAATAATCTAAATTAGTGATTCACAACGTGGGGCGCACGCCCCACCGGGGGGCAATTTGTATATTCAGGGGGGCAATTTAAAAATTTGGGTTATTTGAATGTAATATAGTATCGGTAAAATATTTAACAAAAATTCCTCTGAAATTTAACTAAGAGCGTAAGGTAATTAATAAGTCGTAGGTTTCCACCTTGCTTCCCTGGATTTTTTTGAGGTAGGTTTTTTTTCCCAAGTTTTTGCTAATAAAAACGTTGTAAAAATGTTTTTAAACATGGAATAATGTTGCTGCTTGAAAGGTAACAAAAGGTTATTGATCAAAATGGGCAATACATTACAGAACAAAATTCTTTATTTTCATTGTTTAATCCGAACTTACTTAGCTGCCAATCTTATAACTAAAAGTTTGTTACGGTTTTTGAAATGAAATAGAAAATTATATATAATTTCGTTCCACGTTATTCCAGTTGGCATTTTATACTGGCTAAGTAGAGTCAAAAAATGGATTTATGAAGAAACTGAAACCAAATGCCCGAAATTGTTATAATTTAATAATAATAAAAGAAATAGACATGAAATAACACAACGCGGATACTTGAGTTTAAAGCTCAGTAAGTTAGATCCTAATATAAAATCCTTATGCAGCATTCACGAAGCTTCAGGATCGTATTTAATAAATATAAAAAAATCAGTAATAAAATTAGTTTGAAACTTCGGTTTTTATTATTTATTTAGAAATTTTACTTCTGATGTTTTGATAAAAATCTAAGGGTGATTTCTTCTTAAAACTTACTATGTACATTTCCAAGAACAAAACAATTTTTAGAAGTTAAACAATTTTGTATGGGGGGCATGACTTTTTTAGAAACCTTAAGGTGGGGCGAGGTCCATAAAAGGTTGGGATTCACTGATTTAAATTGTACGTGTAGATGAATTAAATATTTATAGATAGTTAACAAACTAAAACTTCCAAATACATAACTAATATCAATGTTGATTAATAATGTTTTTATATTAATGAATTTGTTTGACCTTCAGCGTAAAGATGTAGTAATACATCGTCGTAATACACGATTGTGTAGTTGAATGATACTAGTTATTATTACTGATTGCTCTATATTAAAGTAAACAAAATGTTGAATGATTGCATTGATAAGACAATCTATAGTTCCATGAAATCTGTAACTCCAATATCCACAAACTATTATTTTATATCACCATTCCAAATTAAAGTTTCATTGTTTTAATAATAAATAAAAATTCCACAAATATCATGCTGTTATGATCAATTTATTCTATTACTCACGTTTATCGATGATATGTCCAATCGTTGTAAATTCGGGCATCTCTCAGCTATAAATCGTAAGTGATCTGCCGTTAAAGTTTTCCAACCGGTCAAATTCAATCCGCGTAACTCCGGACAGTTTTCCACAAGAATTTCCAATACACAAGCAATATTCGGAACTTTCCAGTTTGCTGAAAATTATAATATAAATTTATTAGAGATTTTTTAAATTATTTAAGTTATGTTTAAAAATCTATTGAAACAAATTATTTTATAAATCCTTAAGTATAAAAAAGATAAAATTTAATTCATTTTAAATTTCATTTATTTTAATACGTTAATCGCCAAGATAATATCAGGCAAAATTTCACGTGGGCCATGGCACGTGAAATTATTAGATAATTTAATTAAAAATGTATCAAAGAATTTTTTTGCCAAGCCTCCTGGAAAAACAATCAAAAATTTTGTCACAAATTCAGGTTTTATTCCTGATTTTTCTTCCAGAACTCATGGAAAAACAATATTAAAGTTTTTTGTCACACATACACAGTAGAACTCCAATTATCCGAATTAATGGGGACCGGGACCGATTCGGATAATCAAATATTCGGATAATCGGATTTTTTTTTTTTAAAATAGCCATTGGAGAGAAAAAAGTTACGTTTTGATATTGCATGATATTTTCACATATTTTAAATAATAAATAAAATAAAATGTTTTAAATAATATACAGAAGCCTACACTGGCTTCGCGGGTGGAAGAATAATAGCGCACTTAGACTTTTTTTGGACAATTTTTTTTCTGGAAGTGATTCGGATAATCGGCGATTCGGATAGTCGGAGTTCGGATAATTGGAGTTCTACTATATAACTGAAATGGCTCTATATTAAAACTTTTTTTAGTAGTTAAAAACAGAAATTTATAGTAAAACAAAAAAAATCAGGTATTGTTCCTGATAATTCCACATGTTAGTCCAGTCATTATAGTAAGTAATATACCCAGTATTTATAGTAAGTAAGATACCCAGCTTGTAAGTCTGTAAATACTTGTATATTGACAACCTAAAAGTTGTCTCAAAACCTACATGTGGTAGGGTGTATGCAACATACACCCTACAGGTTTTGAGACAACTTTTGATCTCAAATTTTGGTTTGGTATTTACAGACTTAGAGCTGGATATCTCGAATTCCGAGATCCACTGTCGTGGCAATCAAATGGTTGAAGTATAAAAATAATTTAAAGTGTTAAAGATAAAAATTATTAGAAGTTATACAAAAATTATTTATTTATATTTTGGGCATTATGAGAAATCAATATTAAATTATAATAATTATTCTCAATCACGTATTATTTAATAATTAGTCGCGTTATAACTGTTGAATCTTAATGAAAATCTGCGGCGTGTCTGTGGTGAGATCAGTTAATAGAATATACGCAATAAAATCAAACGATAGAGTTGTAATTTATGATGTATGTAATTAAACTCGTTCAAGTAATATGATTGAAGACCAAGAAGCTGCTGAAGTTTGTTTACTAAATATATTAAAAACGATTAATAATTTATTATCAACCAACAGATGAAGCTATTTTGTTTAAACCTTCGGAAATTCTAATAGTTGTTAAAAGGTAACTAATTAAATTTGAACTTCAATTTATGCAAAATTTAGTATGTTCAAATCATTTTTCGTACTGTTTTACTTTTATCCATTGCACCACAGGAGTAAAAATAATAATAAAAAATAAGTAATAAAAGGTTTTCTAATTAAGTTGAAAATGGATTATCATTTTTGTATGTACGGATTAGTTTTACTTTTATCCATTGCACCACAGGTGTAAAAATAATTATAATAAATAAACGTTAAAAGTTTTTCCAATTAAGTTGAAAATGGATTATAATTTCTATACGCACGCATTGGATTCTCTACAATCGGTTGTTTATTTTTTATTTTATATTATAGGTAATAGTTAATAAGTCAAGAAGTTTATTAAGGCAGTTAAGAAACTTTGTAGAAATCAATCTGGAATAATTTTCTGTTATTTCCAATGTTTGTGTTACTCCGGAATTTTATATAGAGAAGTGTATTCAGGATATATTATCACTTATAAAATTTATTTTATTAAATAATCAAATATAGTTCTTTCTTCCTGAAATAGAGTTTATGTTTATAATTTTTTTTTAAATTTATTCATGCTTCAATTTTAATTGTTTTATCCGTTTATTTATCATTTGCAATTTATATTACGATAAAAAGCGTACTTAAAATAAAAATTAATAAACAAATTATTATATTCTTTTTTAATTACCTTTGAAAATATTGGAGAGTGCTTATTATATTTATTTAATATTCATATTAGTTAATATACATTAATTTCTTTAATTAAACCAAAATAAAGTTAGGATTTTTAGGGTGCTAATGAAAAGCGTACTTAAAGCAAAAATTATTGAACAAATTATTATATTCTTTTTTAATTATCTTTGAAAAAATTGGAAAGTGCTTATTATATTTATTTAATATTCATATTAGTTAATATACATTAATTTCTTTAATTAAACCAAAATAAAGTTAGGATTTTTTAGGGTGCTAATGAAAGACTTTTCCGAAAATATTTTCCGTATCATTTTCCGTACCATTTCAATATGTTATGATTATCGTCTTCCCTTCATGAACAATTATTCAAGTGACCATATATAGAGTTGTTTATTACACATAATTTAAACAATTCCTCATTATTATGCGAAGTCAATTATTATTTGTGTTATGATATTGATTATATTACTATGTTCTAATGCAAACAATAAAAATATAAAAAAATATTTTTACTGTACCAATGTACAGTAAAAATGCGCGAAGAAGTAAAAGTAGAGTGAATTATCTTTAAATCATTTTTGCAAATTGTTCACAATAGAGTACATCTGCAATATGCATTTGTTGTTGAAAATAGAAATTAGCTAAACTATTATTACATATATAACAAAAAAAATTTCATTATATTTTAACAAGAAAATCGAAAATACGCTCGTTTCTGTAAAGAAAAACACTCATTCATTGCACAAATGTCGCAGAGAACGTAGGTGTAAAATTAGAAAATAACAAAAAAAAATCTCATAAGTTAACAAAACTAGTGGTGCATGGCATCATGCCTTAAGGCAAATTACTGCGAGTTCCTGTACAGAAGATTAAAATTTTTAAAAATGCTTTAATTTTTTTTGAAAACTGTGATCTTTGTGGGATTTGAAAAGTTTTTAAAAAAATGGCTTTTTATATTTCGATTTTTTTTGTTGAAAACTTTGAACTTGTTTTCAAAGCAATCGGATTGCGTAGCTGTTTTAGAGACGAAAACATTGGTACGGAGCCTATAGTTTGTAATTTGTTATTAAAATCAGTACCTAACATCCTATAAGCTGTTAGGTTGAAACTTCTTACGACGTATTTTTAGATGGTAACCCAACGGTCGATCTATCCATATTATATTTTTTTATTATTAGAATTTATCTAATAGGACTTATTAGGTCTTATTCAATTTAATGCAGAAGTGCCAGTGAATTTCGAAGTGAAAATTGATGTTTCTACTGCTCGAAATCGTGGTTGATGGGATTGAAGAAAAATGATAAGAACAGAAAGATCAATGAACCTGTGGATTTTCTTACATAAGGAATGACAAATAAATCTATAAGTTGCAAGCATTACCAAAAATAAACATATTCGAAAGATATATAGTAATATATAGAGAAGCTATGTTTTTACTTCCTGACTTACATATGTTCAACTCCTGACAACTCTGTAATCTATTGACTATCAGCCACTTGAGATTAATTTCGGTCCTATATTTCTCTTTTGTCCATCGCGAAAGTTCAATATTCTGCCAAAGTGACGGAGACATGGCAACCTGCCTCCACAGGCTGCACACGCGACACATCCGCACCAGCGCAGGCAGGCAGCCTTCTTCGGCGCAGACTAGTTGAAATATCCTATAAAGAATCGGTTGCGGCAGATTCAAGCCCCATGCGGACTGCTCTAGAGGTTCAGTGTTATTATTAGACTGTTGCTGCTGCTGGTTTCTCGAACTTTTCTTCCCTCTGCTGTGGGAATCAGAATCTTCGCTATCCGAGTCGTGGATTTTTGACTTTCGTCCTCGTTTGCGGGATTTCTTGGGTTGAGTGTCTGATTTTTTAATGCGCAATTTGATCCCGTGGTTGTTGTCGCTGATCTGGCTCTGGTACATGGCCACCGAGGTCTTCTTCGCTGGCCGACCTCTCGTTTTGGGCGCTATGTTGTTCCTTTTGCTGTTGTTTATAGAAAGCAGCCGCGGCTTCCCGCTTTTGATGATACCGTTAGTGAAGGGTGTTACTACCGGTATCATCGCTTGTTCTTCTTTATCACTTTTCTCTTCCGTGTCGCCGTTATCTTTCGGACTGAATTCACATTTTTCATCATTTTCGTTCGACGATGAATTCGTCTGCGAAGCCCCGGGTGAATGGCTATTTTCATTTATATTATTGGTGTCCTCTGATTCATTACAATTATTTATATCGTATATTTTAGAATTACTAGCTAATTGATCTCCGTTCTCTGTCTGTTCTACATACGATGGAAGATGTTCCGGTTCTCCGCTATCTGCCATGTTATTAATGTTTAATCGAGATTCTAAAGTATTCTCGGTAGAATAGCTTACGTAGCTCTCGGCCATTTTAAATTGTTTTTATTTGTAAATAAATACAAAATTCGATTCATTTACATAGTCGTTACGAAAAGGACAAAACACAAACACAGATGTCATAAATCGTAAACATTCATTTTGACAGCTTTCACTTAAACAACATGATTTATCAATATATTCCTACTGCATATTGTGAGGAGATAACTCACCTGAGCGATTATTTGTAGGGAGAATAAATTAAGTCAACACTTGGTATAAATAAATTTACTTTTGTTTATAATGCATTTTAGGTCATAGCGATCATGAACTCTATCTTGGGATAATACTGTTTTTAGACAACACTGCACATAGTTTTGAACCAAGTTTTATATAAAAATAACACTTAACACTTTAAAACTACGAAACACATCATATTATACGCTAATTTAGTAAAATCTATTTAATAAAACATTTTATTTCATTGCAATTTGGCCTTGTTACTTGTTTAGTAAGCAAGAGTACTTAGTCCACAATGTTACCGCTAGAGCAAATTATTGATATCTTTGAAATATCCTTACACGTGAGTAATAACTATATCTCCTAATAATAATTCATTATTCCCATTATGCAATTAAATATCAATATACAAAAAAAACTGTTGTGATTCTATCAGACATGTTTACATAATAATAATAAGTCAAAAAATCGTTTCAAGAGTTCTCTACATTTCCATTTGCATCTACGCGCGTACAAGTTTTCGTATTCCAAATTCGAACCACGCGCTATAGATGCCGCTACCCATACGATGCGCAACTCACACATCGGTCTATCTTGTCACATGCTCTCTGTCCCTTACCAATGCTAACGATTCGCTTAAGGTACGAAAGAGAGAAATGTCAGAGCCAGAATCCTTTACCATATTGTCAGTTCTCTAAACACGCTGTAAATGATGTAATATAAAAATGAGAAAACTGTTTCGTTTGGTATATTTCTTTTAATATTAATTCATGGTAAATAATTAATTTTATCATGTGTGTAATAAACAAGTTTAAGTTTTGTAATTGTTAAGAGAGGCTTTTATATCAGTACTGTTATTGATATCTGTTGCAACATCGGACAACTGGTGAGTTGAGTCATGTTTATAAATATAAAATATATTATTCTTAGGTCTATATATTCGTGTAATGACTGTAGACGTTAACATAAATAACGCAGATTATAAATTAATGTCTTATAGTGCAAATTAATGTGATATATCAAATAATCATCATTAATTTTAATTGTCAAAGTAAGAGTAGTTTCTACTTTCTATTGATTGTTCTTTAAATGCAAAGGTTTGTTCATATTATTTAATGTCATAGTTTTTTTTTAGTCAAAGAGCTAACGTTATATTACCGATCGATAATTACGGAATTCTCTGCAACATGACATAGTCTGAATTATATTTACATTTTTAAATCAAACAAAATAATATATTTTCATCAATATATTCATATTACAGCCACTTTTTAATACTAAAAAATAATGCAATAATATTATCAATATAATATACTTGATGTTGTCGAGAAGTAGGATCAAAATATAGCATGAAATCACGTTTATTATTTACACAAAAAATTTCTTCTAAAAGTACATATTTTAATAATATCCTGGATCTTGTTTTTAATTTAAATCTTAAATTATTCTGTAAGAAAGACGTTATTTAATAATGTTTTTAATTTTTTTACAATGTATTTCTAATAAAATTTAGAAATTACTGTTAATAAATACCTTAAAAAATTATGTATTACATTTGTAATAATTATTTGAACATATACAAAATGCACAAACATTAAATAAGTTGCTAGAGAATAATAATTTGTAGAAATTTTATCCAAAACGTTTAGCCATTCTGTTTAATATTTTTTATAGAACCCTATATTTCTAATAAAATTTATAAATTACACATTGCTAACATGTTCTCAACTCAACAAAATTATTTAATACATGCTTTATTATTATTTTAACATATACATAATGTAAAACAACACTACACTACAAAAGAGTTACTCGAAAATATTTATGTGCAAATAGTATTTTTTCTCTGAAGCTATTAATCTTATTCACAAATGTCCAATTTGACTTTCAGTAATTATACTGTCTAAACTAAATAAACGACTTGACAACACATAACATGTATCAAACAAACAATTATCGAACTATGTTCAGTAAAATTCCCAGTTTTCTCCTAATTATAGAAATATGTTTTTTACTATTTTTTTAAACTTTATCACCTGTCCCTTTGTATCAAAGAAATCGATGGATTTGGCTGTCTCTTATTATCCATTTTGGGGTAATAAGGGACAGCCAGATCCATCGACTTTTTTCTATTTCAAAGAGATTTTACGAAATTATAGCTACATTATTTAACCAATGTGAAATACAAATTTCCTACTTATTACAAGAATTTCATTGTAAATAAGTATAACCCTGATCTGATATTTTGAAAGAAATATTCTTCAAAAGAGGTCAAATAACGAAATATTATTTTAATTTATCTCTTGTTAAAATTGCTTTTGCTAAATTGATTTACTTTTTTTTACTATTTCTTATTGTTTACATTTTTATCAATGTAAAGAATTTGTTGGTTCTTCTTACCTCAACTATATGTAAGGTATTCTAGAGATTATACAAAAACAACACAAAAACTTTTTTTTTCTTATTTATTTATCGGTTTTTGACATAAATCATATGGCCAGATGCCATTCATACTAATTAATTTTAGTGTTATTAATAAACTTCAATATATATTTATAAATTTTTAAATTATTAATAACATTTTCTTTGTGTAAATTTATTATTAATGATCTTCTTTCGTTTTGGAATAAGTTGCATTAAAACTTAAAACCAAAAAAACTACCATAACAACGAAAAAAAACTTTCGGTATGAAAATTTATACATTTTAGTTTATCTTCTGATGGTGATGGCTAGTTACATATCTTTTGCCTTCTACTTTAATTTAGTATCATTGGAAAATTCTATACTTAGCTTGTTTTTGAGATAACGATGGTGATTTTTTTTTCCCGCGTACCTTTAAGCCCCGCTCTACCCTTCATCAAAAAGGTTTTTGAAACAAATAATTTTATTTCTAAACCTTCTTTGCTTCACGTGCTTCTTTTCAAACTTAGCGATGCTCGATAATATTCATATAACTCTATTTCTCTAATAAAATTGCACACTGCTCATTTTTTTCAATCCTACAAAATTATATATTACATGTGAAATAATTATTTTAATTCATAACATAATTCTAATAAATTAAAATGTTACTACAAAATAATAATTTTCAATGATTTTTTTGTCAGAAATCTAGGACTTTTGATTTCATTCTTAGACTTGCTTTTTTTTCAAGCTTAGTGATGTCTGATTATAATATTCTTTATGAACTATTAATTATGTTGAAATATACATAATGTAAATACTTCAAAAAGTTATTAGAAAATAAAAAATTATTAAATTTATTTATATTAAACAGATTTTTTTCTCAAAATCTAAGAACTATTAGAATCTCATTCGGAGACCTGGCGCTTTTCAAAATCAAATCAGTGTGCATGTGTGTAATTTTATAGAAGCCAGGCGCATATATTATCGTGCCGTAGTCAAATTTCAAAACAAAACGACACTTAAATGAGATCTCATTTCATAATATTAACAATCAGTGCGTTGCGAGTTATATAGAAGTTTTGTCTATTTTTTATCAGACGAGCGTGGTAGTGTGTTAATTACGCTATTGTTATTGCATTTTTGTTTTGTCTATTATTATATTTTTAGCGGTGTCGAATAATATTTAACTGTAAACAATTATTTATGTTTGGTATGTTTAACCTGTACGATGTTTTGATAGAGATTTAGTTTTTTATTGCACTCTCAGTACGTACTCTATAATTTGCTCGTTAATAATTACTTTTGGAATTAATGCAAAATGAAAACCAGTATTTAAAAGAAATACTTACAGACTTTATGAAAACTTATATATCATGTTTATTATCATCAATTCATTTTATTAATTCATATGTATGTTTTGTTTCAGCTTATACGGAATGAAACAAGATGCGCTGCAATTGCAATGAACGCCCGCGGTGCCTTAACGAGGTTAGTTTAAACTTTTTTATTATTCAAATCTTACAGTGATTCGTTTCATTTACACAGAACCGGGGTATTAATTAACAGAATACCAAAATGATAAAATATAACATTTGCTATTTTTTATTTTTTACACCTTTTTCGGGGTAAAGGTTCAGTTGGTCCTTTTATCTCTCCCCCCTCCCTGGTAGCAGTACATTTTTACAACAAATAAATAACGTATACTTAAAAATTATATTAATATTAAGGTAATATATCGAGGTCTCGTGAACTGAACAACAGTGTTCATAACGAAAACAAATAACACCGAAAGAAAATACTTTTGTTATGGATTTTTTCTCCCGATAGCAAGCTCTTAAGAATCAAGGTGATGGCTGGTTATAGATCATTTTCTCTCTACTTGCAAATACTGTTTTTGAAAAATTCTTAAATCTCTCTGGTTTTTGAGATTTCGGTGGTGGACTTTTTTATCCGCTAACCTTTAAGCCCCGCGATACCCTACATAAATCAGCATGTTTTAATAGAGAAATATATATTTGAATATGTATAATTTGACAAAAGGTATTTAGGTTCTTATAAAATCACAACAAAATCGTTACTGTACTTTGTTTGTTTAAAAAGTTGTCTACTCGACTAAATACCACATTTTTATATCTGCATTAATTCGTAGGATCTCTATAAATATAAACGAAAATTAGTTATTTGGCAAGTTATAAGTTTTTTGTTATATATATTTTTTATATTATATAATTTTTACACTTGTCCTGAAATGGGTAACAAGTAAAACTGTAGGATTAAAAAATGACTTTAAAAATACTAAATATTCTGACCATTGCCAGAATTTTTGAAAATTGACGTTTGTTAATGTAACATGAATTTTTTTTTTAATCTTGCCTTGATAGTGTTGTGGCATAATTCTGTGGCATGTAGAATTGGATGATCCTCGAGGCTGCTTTTGTAATTGAATGTGTTCGCATTTCATCATTTATTTTGTTCTTTCCATTTTATTTAGTTTTTTGTAAAGCTACATTACGTTTGCAAAAATTTGATAGTGTGTATTAAAATTACACGTCCAAAGCAAATACCTCTGCGAAAAAATTATAGTGTCACATTACACAAAAGGAAGTGCGTGTAAAGAAGATCTTTTCCTTCCGGCGTTAACGTGGGAAATGCAAAAAAAAAATCAGATTTAGGTTGTAGGAAAAATTTATATGCTTTATTATATTTTTGCGTTTTGGCTAACATTGTGAGTGCCAGACTTTCGAATTTCTACTTATCAGGCTTTTCCTAATTCGAATAGCTGCAATAATATTTTAATCATCATACGAT